AGGTGGGCGTGGCCGCGGGCTCAGACCCCGGAGGGGAGCGCGCCCCGACTCCCCGTGCGCCCTGCCCCCCACTCACAGTTCTCAAAGTAGAACCTGTGGAAGTCCATCCCTTCGACCAGGTTGCCCAGGGCTTCAGGCTCGAACGAGGTCAGGCCCGGGTCGCAGATCTTCCTGGGAGCAGACCCACGTGAGGGCCCCTCCGAACCCGCCCGGGGTGGCCCCCTGAGTCCAGCGTTTTCCGTCCACGCCCCCCCCCCACTCCCAGCTCTTGCGGGGCGCGGCGACATTGCCACGAGCTGCTCACAGCCCACCGGGGCTGCCCAAGGACCCACCCGGCCGACTCACGCGTACGCCTCGAAGTCGCCGTTGTTCACGGCCTCGATGAGCTGCTCCGTGATCTTGATGATGTCTTGCTTCCGTGCTGCGGGGAGACGAGGCCCGTGACCCGAGGACCCCAGCGGCCCCACCCGCCTCTCCTCTCCAGGGGGCACCCCGTCTGTCCAGCTCAAACCACGCCCCCCCAAGGCCAATAGGGTCTCCACATGTCCCACAAGCTTCTATCTTGTCTGTCTTAAATAAAACGTCTCCAAATGATAGAAATAGTCCATCCACGGTACAGTGTCTGGAAAACGCAGAGAGAACAAACAGAACCTGCCACAACCCTCCGGGAGGCCCCAGTCGCACACCGCACCCCACCCCGCCCCTCCCCCGCAGCGACCCTGACCTTCAGTGGCTGTGACCCTGTGACCAGCCTTCCTGGCCCCCGCCCGCTTGGCCTTCGCTTACCAGGCCCTGCCAAAACCCAACAACCTTCCAGGCGCAGCAGGGAGGGGCAGACAGGGTGGGGAGGGCAGCTGCCAGCTGCTGCCTCTGTCCATCTGCAGCCGCCGGCCCACCGGCCGCTCCCCACCCCTGTCCATCCCACACCTTCCACCCTGCCCTCCTGCCCTGTGCCCCCTGGTCCCACACAGGGGGCCACCCATGGGCCCTTCATTTCTGTAACCACAGTTTACTTTTGTAGAAAATATTTTAAACATGGGAGCTGCAGAGGTCCTAACCCAGCCCACGCCCCGCAGACACAAATCCCAAGGTCTCCACGTTTGTTCCAGACGTTTTTACAGAAATAACACCTTGCACAGTCGCACGCACCTATGTCCCCGCCAGTCCCCTCTCCATTCACTCTCCCCAGAGGTGCTGTCCTGAGGGAGGGGCTTAACGGCCTCCGTGCGGATATGCACACCCACGTGCACACGCGCGTACACACAGGCTCGCACACACACAAGCAGTGACGGCTGGTGCTGAGCACAGACCCAGGGCCTCTCCCCGGGGCCCCCGGACCCAGCTGCGCCTGCGCCCACGCAGCACGCGGAGCCTGCTGCCCTTCACCGCTGCCCCATGGGACAGGTGTCCACCGGTCTCCACTCCTCAGCTGCCAGCACTGCCGGGAACAGCACACGGGTGGGCTGCACCCCATCCAGAGCGGTGCTCCTGTGTTTGGAGGCGTGTGTCCCGGCCCGTCGGGCTGCCCATCACCCTCCCACTGGCACCTGGCGCTGGCCGGGCACTCCCGCTCTCGGCGTCCACATGGGCAGTGGCAGACGACGCTGCGTGGGGCGTGTGAGCTGAGGCCCGTGCGGGTGCCGGGGGCCTGCGCTGTGCTGTGTGGGCTCCAGACAGTGACAGCGGGAAGAGCCCCGTGACACCGGGGGCCAGGCGCACGCACGTGCTTGTGACAGGGGAGTGTGGGCACGTGTGCATCCGCGTGCGTGTGCGCCAACCTGCACCATGCACAGGCTCCCCTATCCTAACGGGACCCTCCTGCCCTGCTCCCCCTCACAGCCAGACCTGTGTCTGGACCCCGGCAGGGTCTGTCTGCAGAAACGGCCCCGCGTGTCTGGCTGGCCCTGGCTGCTGGCTCAGGGAGGTGGGCAGTGGCTCTGATCTCCAAGGCCCCAGGCCCACCTGCAGCTCTGTCCTGATCGCACGCTGGGCCCCGGCTTGGCAGCATCTGACATCTCAGGTCTCCCCTCCCCAGCAGCTGGCCCAGCTCTCCGCCCTCTTTGGGGGGTCCAGGGTCTGAGAGTGCCTCTCTCCTCTGCCACCTCGCTCAGCTCCTCCTGGTTCATCTGTCACCTTCGTGGTGACGGCTTTAACCCCAGGCTTCCCTTTCCTCTAGCTGCAGCCGAGCTTCACTTGCCAGCTGCCTCACCCACCCAAGAGCCGGCCTGGCCACCTCCCTGCTGCAGTGACCAGCGCCTGCTAGGTCTGGTCCAGGGCAGCCCCTCACCTGGAGCCCCACCTGCCCCCGGGGCCGACCCCAAACCCTTGCCCATCCCCTTCTCTCAGACAGTGAGAGCTGCCCCACGCACAGGAGCCTGCGGTGACGGCCGCCCAGCAGCAAGCGCTGAGTGACACTTTGTTTTTCGTGTACTTTAATATCGTAATCACCCTAAGCCATGATAACTGAAGCCAATGTTCTGGTTAATGATGAAATTCTGGGTGTTTTTAAATGAACTATAATTAAAGATGGTAGTCAGTGTAAAGACAAAGTATTAAGCAAACCAAAGGCCAGAGCTGTGGTCACAGCACAAGTGTCAGGCCTCCTCCTGGGAGACAGCGGCTGACCCCACAGACTCCCAGGTCAGTCGGAAACTGCCGGCCTCAGCGATCCTGGGCTGAGCCGATAGCCTGAGGAGGCCCAATCATTGGCAAAGGGTCCTGGGGGACCCTGGCGACCCCTTGCTGGCCCCGAGCCCTGCCTTTGGCGACTGCGGGGCACCAGGAGCGCTCCGGCGACCTCAGGCAGACAGCTGGGCAGGATCAGGCGGGATTGTGTGTAATCCCAGATTACGGAGAACACGGCGGCCCGGTGAGCACCGACCCCATGACACACTGACAGCTGGCGGGAGCACCTGCGAGAAAGGCCTGGTCCCCAAGTTGCAGAGGGGTATCCCGGCTCTGGCACTCCTTCACTCAGACTTGTTGAGTGCTAGGTCTCAACCCTAGAGCCCCTCAGAAGGCCTGACCCCACACCCCTTCCTTCCCCATGGAGCCTCCAGCACCAAGGAGCTGGGACGCTAGGGACTTGGTGGGGGCACATGCACCCCGAGGGCTGCCCTGTGCACCCCAGCGACCCACTCCCACCCACCCGGTGGGCCAGGCCACACCTGCCAGCCCCCGACCTCCATGTTCCTCCATTTACCTTGCTCACAGCCCCCTCTTGCGGCCCCCACCTCCCCTAACCAAGCTCAGGGAAGACCCCTGAGCAGGCGGATCTGGGCTGTGAGCCCATGGCAGGACCCGTTCTCAGATCCCTGACCGCCCAGGCTGTGCGGGCCTCAGGCTGAGGGTCCCAGGGTCCCACTGATGGGGACATGGAGGCCTCTGAACTTGAACAGGATGCTGCACGGCAGGCAGCAGCATTCTGACCATCCTCACAGGACCCCCGGGTGCCCCAGTGTCACCCCGTTTCCACCAACCAGAGTGGTCTCACTGCCACAACTCGCCTCCGATCCCCTCAGCCAAACCGGGGTCCAGCGGCCCCCACGCTGGTCCGTGCCCCGTGGGTCAAGTACAGAGTGCTCTTGGCCAATGCTCGCTCCCACAGAGGCCACTCGCTGCCACCCGGTGGCCCCGGGGTGACCCATGGCCATTAGCCTGCAGGCCGCAGAAGCCCCCTAGGCCCCCACAGCTTCGCTTCCCCCACTCTGCCCGGCCCCCAGAGGCCCAGGCGGAGGTCAGCACTCACCCAGCCACTCCCCTGCCATGCCCGGCCCCAGGCCCCGCAGCCTCTCCGCTGAGAGCCCTGTGTTTCCCCGGAGGTGGCTGCTGCCCCGGGGTGTCATCCATCCCTGTAAGCGATACTGGTGGCAGTCGGCAGATGCCGGAGCAGCGGCTCCTCCCCGCGGGGGACATGGGGGGGGCAGCCCCAGCCCCAGCCGCCTCTGCCGCCTGCCCCCTGCTGGCCCTCTGCCCAGCCGGCTGCTCTCCTTGTCCCCACCCCAGCACCTCCGTCCAGAGCTGCTCTGCCACCCTCGACCCCAGCCCGGTGGAACTGCAGAAGTGACCCGAGTGGCCCCCCCACGTGGCTGAGTCCCAGCACCCCTGCATGTCGCCATCCTCTAGAGACCCACCGGTCACAAGAGCACACGGCCCTGGCTCTTTTCTGACACACGGATGTGCACGCCCACGTCCCCAGCCACTGACTCCGTCTCCTGAGGCCAAATGACACCTCACGTGGAGCGCCTGCACACCTTTCTGTCCCCCAAGTGCCCCACTCAGAGCGACGGGCAGCACTGCAGCCGGGGTCCTCGACCCCCTGTGAGCCCCAGGGTGCTACTTACACGGGGCGGGTGGGGGCCCCGGGAGAGCCAGAGACAGGCAGGGTGGGGGGCCCTGGGCTTCTGGGGTCCCCGAGCCCCTCCTCACCGTGTTCAGGATGTCAGAGATCCTGGGGGCTGGGGGAACAGAACAGACGTGAACATGAGGCGGGCGGGAGGGACACAGGACAAGGACCTGTGGGCTGACCAGCCAAGCAGGGGTGGTGCACGGAGGGCGAGGGAGCTGGGAGGCCGGGGGGGACGTGGGGGGACACA